AACCAACAGTATACATTTCTGCTAAATACAGCTTAGACTCATTCCACTGTTCTTTAGCTACTGCTATTGGTCTTGGTGCAAAAGGAAGCAATAGAAAATAATATTGCAGAAAATAAAAAGACAACCCTAATTCTGGATAGTCACTAGAAATACACAAACACAGATACAAACTCTATGAATGCAGTTCTCTCTTTTTATTCATTTTGAGAAAAACTTTAATAAACAACATTACAAAGAACAAGAGTTATTTCTCTTTCTGACATTTCCTGCATGTTTTACAGTTCCACCTCTAGATGGTAGAAGAGATCAAAATCTAGTGTGCCTGTTTCCTGAAGGATGGCAGCGACTGGAGGAAGAATAACTTGAAAACACAACGTAGAAAGGTTGAAAGTTGTGATATGTCACTTGGGATGCAGTAAGAATACATTCCACCTTCCACAGGATTCAGTTTTCCAGGGTGAAGCTGCCACCATCAGTTCTGTACATGACAGTGCATTTGTTATTTTTTATTTCTATCTTAAAATTTCTCTGCATTTTGCTATCCCTCAAAGAATTTCCCTCATCAGTTATGAATTTCCAAGTGTGAGCAGTTTCCTAGTTCCTTGCCCTTTAGCTGCCCTGCCCTGAAGAGATAAGACAAGACAGACCAAAAAAGGAGAAAGGAAGTACTATTATCCTCATTTTGCAGATGGGAAACTGAGGCCCACAGCAATTCAGGGGCTTGCCAAGGTTGCACAGAAAATCTTTGGCAGAGCGGGGCATTGGACCCTAAGTCTCAGACCATCATTCCTCTCTTGTAAGTTTGGGAACAATTTGCATATGCAAATCATTAGGGTAGGATAATGATATCTAAGGGCATGGCCATGTAGGACAATGTGGGCAGCCTCAATGGTGCATATGCTGTAAAAATGATCATGTGCCCTGAGCAGGACATCTACAGATTACTGCCAAGTGATTCTGATTTGCAGGCGGCTAGTGAGGGTTTGGCTACTTAATTAACACTGTAGACAGCTAGCTTTAAAGGAAAACATTCAGCTTTGTTGATATAAATGCAAAATAGCCATATTAAATCAGAAGGTCTAATTTCCTGGAAGCCTCAAAATAGCATATGGTTTGGGAAACAGCTACCCAGGGGATATATATATATATATATATATTTATAGGGAAAAAGCGGGAGAGTATGATGATGAGGAGAAGTAATAACTGATGTGTTTGGCTTATAAGCTTGGCTTATACCCAACAGCAGATACTGCTACTAAGAACATCTGTTACTGTCACAAGAAGTATTTTCTCTGTAACTAGACAATGCAATACTGTATTGAAAGGGGGAACTTGCTGTTCCTTTTTATTCTACTGACACATTTTCAGAACCTGACATACCTTGACTGACTCAGTTTTAGGCTCAGTAATGGGCTATCCCTTTCCCCTCTAATTACTAATTGTGGTAGCTGAAACTGCACTAATGAGCTAAAAATGGTTATATGTAATGTTCAACATCTTGCATTATAACATATGAGTGCTTCCACAGACAAGTTCAGGCAAAGAATTGTGTCCTTTATTGCTTCTTTATTATGTATGAAGCAAGCTGTGTTTTTATTTAGTTTCTAAGTTTTGCTCTTTTTTTAATAATAGAAGTTCTGGCCCTGGAGCCTTATGGATGACCTCAGAACTTGTGGGGACATCATGACTTCACAGGAATCTAAAAGTTGAGCAACTGAGATGGGAAGTGATTCTTAGGTCTTATGTATTTTTTTTTGTACCAGACATTAGTAGCTGCACTGCTGTAAATCCCAAGTATACACATGCTGCACTAGTGTAAAAAGTTAATCACACCCTGCAGTTTATCCTGGTTAAAAAATAATCTATAATACTCTCAAATAAAACAGAATTGGAATCAGGATTTATTAATACCAAGTTAAAGAAATCCAAAATCAGTTAGCAGACCATAGATTTATAGCATATTACTCACTCTAAAAGCATTAGGCCTTCTATCTTCTTGAAGTCTGATTTAATTTTGCATACTCTTTTCTTTTCCTCTCACTGAGAAAGTGATCTCCTGATCTGTAATGAAATGATAGTCACATGCAGCTATGGAAGGAGTTCTCCCACACTTACAATATTAATTGAAATTAAGATTGTGCATGTTGTGAACATCTACTTGTGAGCCTTACCCCGCTTGAAATGTATCATAGCCTGTATAACACACAATATGGAATTATATACTTTGATACATTAACAAAATACACAATAAAGCAAATTCAAAACAGAAAATGCAAAACTAAATGATCAGTAGGAATGATTAAAACTTGATTTAAAAAGTCCATGAAAATGGTTCTTATATTCCAAATACAAACTTCTTGAGTTTGTTATAACAATGCTCATGCCAGTTCAGTCATTGCAGAAGATATCAGAAAATTGCGGAAGATATTCCAAAGAGTAAAAATCAAGCTTGTCCCAGGATCTTTAAAAATCTTTTTAGAACAAATGACTAGTAAAACAGATACATCATTGCATTCTAAAGAGAGAATTTTTAGCATTTTCAGATAAAAGTGGATCCTTCAAAAGGATCTCACAAAACTAGGTAGCTGGGCAACAAAATGGCAAATGAATGTTAATGTTGCTAAATGCAAAGTAATGCATATTGGAAAACATAACCCCAACTATATGTACAAAATCATGGGGACCGACCCACAGAAAAATCAGTCAAGGGCCACACATAAAAAACCCTCACTGATGCAGCACCTGCTGAGAAGTAGAAAGACACTCCCCACATTCCTCTTGCACATCAGAGCCTAGGGGGGCCTAGCCCAATAGATTTTGTGTGCTCCAGCCCCGTGGGGCAGTGGAGGCGAAGGTGGAGACTAGAGCACCAATGCAGGCTCCTCAATGAGTGGGGAAGAGGGGCTGAGGTGTCCCACCCCAGGATAGAGAATAAGACAGAGAGTATTTTATTGTCTCTGTATAAATCCTTGGTATGCCCACATCTTGAATACTGCATACAGATGTGGTCTCCTCATCTCAAAAAAGATATCTTGGCATTGGAAAAAATTCAGATAAGAGCAGTAAAAATGATTCGGGGTTTTGAACAGCTGTCATAGGAAGAGAGTGGCAGCAGCGGACTTGGGGAAGCGGCGGGGCGGAGCAAATCCCGGGCTTCATTTGCAAGTTCAAATACCTACATTAGCCTCCCTAGTTCGAACTAGGGGGCTAGTGTAGACATACCCATGGTGAGTAAGCTGGTATGTGTGTGAACTAGATAACCTTTTGAGGGTCCTTCTAGTTCTGTATTGTATTGGTTAAATAAGCTGAAATTTTTATTTAAAATCTGAGTTGAATGTGTGGATCACATGGTGTTTATGAGTACAATCTTGGTATCATTAATAAGGTCATGGGTAACAATAAAATAGCAGAAGAAAAAACATAATTTGTCAGCTGTATCCCATAAAGCAGAAGTGTAATCTGAAAAAGACATATGGATGAATAAACACCCACAATGACTAACTTCTGCAGAATTGGGAGATACGTTTTTTGAGTTATTCTATCCATTCCATTTTTTAAAAATGGAATCCCATGGCATTTCTGTGCATGTTCCAGTGTTGAAAAATTACTCTTCAGCCATATCTCTAAATTGTAACAGTTTGAATGTGTCCTATTCTCTCGCAATTTTACATCAAGTATTCAATTAGTTGATAGGGCACCACTGCCTTTGAAGTGTAACAACAGCCCTAGGGCTGTTGCTACATGAAAGCACAGCATGGAGGCCAGGGTCAGCTGGGGACTTGCTGACCCTGGGCTCCCTGCAGTCCCCAGCTGATCCCGGGCTCTACAAAGCGCTGCCGCTGAAACGCCACCTGCAGCCTTGGGACACTCCAGCTGGCCCTGGCTGCTCCTGACTTTTCAAAGTGGCAGTGCCACATGGAGTGTGGGGTCTGGCCCCAGGCTTCAAGCAGCGCTGCCGCTTTGGAGTACTCCATTCCCCCTCCCCCTTGCTGCCTCTATCCTGTGGATTATCCAATAAGCATTTGCTTATCAGATAGTCTACTAGTTGTTCACATCCCTAGTGAGCACTTAGCCTTCAAGAATATCTCATATTAGTTCGTATCTGCAAAATACCAAGGAGTCCTGTGGCTCCTTTATAGACTAACAAATTTATTTTAAGCTTTTGTGGGTAAAAATCCACTCCATAGTTTTGAGGAAGTGATTTTTACCCACAAAAAGCTTATGCCCAAATAAATATATTAATCGCTAAGGTGCCCCAGGACGCCTCGTTTTTTCCATCAAGGGAACTGTATGACCATCATGGGACAATTGTAGACTAGAGAGACTCCCTCTCCTCTCCTCCCCCCAGTATGTTGACAAAGTTGTGTCACACCATATGATCCTGTGCATGATTAGTCCTAGAAAAGGTTGAATCCGCTGTTGACTCAGTGTTTCACGCTGGACCCAGTGCAGGGGGCACTGCGGCCGCCGGGGGGCGGGTCACCCCTCAGGGGCTGCTCCAAGAAAAGGCTCCTTTTGCAGAGGGGCGGACGAGCTGCCTATAGGGGCGGGTGCTGGGG